TACCATAAAGATATTTTAAGATTGGGCTACAAAAGGATCAGTTAAGTTTTGTTTTGTTTTGTTTTTTTCGGTCTGAGTGTGTTTTGTTTGGGAGGTAGCAAGTTAAGAGGAAAGGGGAGAATTAAAATATTTGCAAGATGTCATTAATCTCCAGCAAGAGCCTAGAGTTGTTTTTTTTCCCCCCTACTTCATTTCAGAACTAATCCAGCTTTCTGTTATTTGGCTCAGAAAAGTCTTAAATCTGTAACAAGAGAGTAACTTCCTGTTCTCAAGAGTATAGCTGCCAAAGAAAACATTTACAAGAAAAGTCCCAGGGCCAAAAAATTGCCTACTAATTATTTCTCAACCCCCCTCCCACCCCTAAATCGGGAAGGTGAATCCTGTAAACACTCTATGTTAAAACCTGAAAAATTAAGAGAAAACCGTCATGAACTGTTTGCCATTTATTTATAATTTATTGCATTCAGATTACATCAAGTTTATGGCCCTTGGGCACAAATGAATGTTTCTTATAATATTTTGTTCGGAATTCCACAAAGATTATACTATACCTTTACTGAGATACACTATGGAAGTTTTCCCAGTACTTTTCCAGCTAAGGAAGAGAAGAGCAGTCAGTGACATCCAGAAACCAACCTAGGTGTGCCCAGCATGGGCTGTAGTGTTGCTAGGAGCTGGCCTGACACAGAAGGAGTTTGGTGTTATCCTTGGTGACCTGTCTATTCAATGCAATGCAGCCCCAAGGAAAATCCCAACAGCCCTTTTGTAGGAATCCACAGACTATAAAATTCATATAGAAACGCAAAGGACCTGGAATAGCCCAACCAATTTTGAAACACATAATTAGGGAGCCTATACTACCTGACTTCATGGTCGATGATAAAGCTACAGCAATCAAGACAGCTAGTACTAGTGTCAAGATAAGTAATTAGATCAATATAACAGTATAGAGAGTACAGAAATAGATTCATGCACATACGGCCAATTGATTTTCAACAATGGTACAAGGGCAATTCAGCGGAAAATGGGTAGTCTTTTCAACAAATGTTGCTAAAACAATGAGATATCCTCATGCAAAAACAAAAAGCAACTATATTTTTCGCACCATGTATTAGTTATCTAATCCTGCCTAATGATTTACCTTAAGCTTTAGCAGCAGTCTCCTTCTGGTCTCTTTGCTTCTGTTCTCTCTTTTTAGAAACACAGCTTTAGTCTCCCTTTTAGGTCTCTCCTTCTGTGACAAAGTAAAATAGATCATTCTTAAATTCACATCTAAAGAAAAGGAGATAGTTTATTTAATCTCCTGTTTATCCAGTGACATTTCCCCCACTCTGCACAATCCCGCTCACTAGCATTCATTAAGTCTGTGTCCAATAAGAAGAAATTCCTGGGTTTGCAAATATTCTTGGTGCAATTTTGCCTTCCAATAATTACTAGTAATAGTAGCAGGTATCAGTTATTGACATGTCTCTGATGCAAAACTAGGAAGTTTTTTCCATGCTGTCCTGTGATCTGTGCAGGAAGCCTGTGGGTGCTGGGGGTGGGGTGGGGGTTGCAATTCCATTTACTTCATAGGCAAAGCTGCATCCAGGGGCATGGAGCTGCAGAGTGCTGCAGTGACCTGACCAAGGGGGTATTGTGATTTAATGGCAGACCTGGGACTGACTCCAGGCCTCCCACCTGTGTTCTGAAATCAGACAGGTCTGGATGGTTTCAGACAATTTTCACATCTTTTTGAGTTTCAATTTCCTTATCCGTGAAATGGTGGTAATAACATCTTCCAGGCAGGACTGTTGTAAAGACTCAATATCTGTGTGCTGTGTCCAGCTCAGTAACTCCTGGTATCCTTTACTTCCCCCAAGCCGAGGCTCTTTCTGGAATACTCTTCATTTGTAGATTTCATGTTTATCAAGGTTTGCAGTGGCTTCCCTGCAAAAGACTAGTGTGCCTCTTATGGGAAACTACTCCTGAGGAGTTTATGTCACCAGAGAGACAACAAATGGACAGGAAGATTGGTCATGAGATGTAAGAATAAAGAAGGGGCTGAAAATAAGTTCCCCTGGGATTCAGAGATGGGACAGATCAGGAAGGCCTGGACTTGCTGGAAAAGATTTTGGAGAGGGTGAGGGTCTCGAGGTGCATATCTTTGTCTTCCCAGCACCAGTCATGTACTGGGTGCACTGACCTAGCCCTCTCAGTCTGGCTGTCAAGAAGAGCACCATCGCCCAGTGGGGCCTGAGCCAGGAATCCTGCCCTTCCTGTCACCCTCACTCCTTGCCCAGGTGACCACCCTAGGGTTCCTAGAGCAGGCAGATGGCATTCGCTGGGGAGAAGGAGAGTGTTTACAGTGGACACATGGACCAACTCAGCGTTCAGCCTTGGTTGGTGCACCCTCCAAGCACTTCCCAAATGTTGACTCTCTCTCCCAGGCTATCCCTGAAATAGAGGGCATGCCCCACCCACAGTCGAACCACATCTTAGTCATGTGGCCTGAGTGACAGGCTCTTGGTGATAGCTCACTATGCAGCAGGCTTTCTCTGAATCCCGGATCCTGAAGGACACTTGCCCCTTCCAAGCCCACCCTGTTTCCTGTCAGCTGCCAGGTACTCTCTGGGCCCTAGGGACACCTCCAGGCCCACAGCTCACACCTGCATGTCCATGAGTTCTCCCATCCACAGGTCATATGCTGAAAGAACTTTGTTCACCTGCTTTGGGGACGGGTCTGCCTAATTCTCATTTCTCATTCCTCATGTTGGCAAAGGGGTCAGGAAGTCACATTCTCAGCCTGTTAGTGAGAATTTCAATGGATTCACATTTCCACAGGCCATAGTGGGCCATATGCACCAAAAGGCTTAAAGTGTGCATACCTTTGGACCGACCAATTCCTCTTCTAGGAATTTATCCTGAGAAAATAATCAGGCAAGCATACAAAAACGTGTGCACAAGATTGTTCATCAGAGGACTGCTGAAAAAAAGTAAAGACAATGTCAAAATTCCAACACTAAGGCATGGGTCAAATCATGGCATATCAAAAAATGGAATCCAATTACCTATAAGGAGCAATTACCTATAAGAAGCAATGTAGATTATATATATAGCATATATATATACTTTTTGCTTACTTCATATATATGTGTTTATGTATATAATACATATATATACTTTTGCTTATTTTATATGTGTATATATATATAAAGTAAGCAAATATTATAAAGTAAATATATATAAAGTAAGCAAACTTACTATATTTATAAAATAAATATATATATATATACACACACATATAAAGTAAGCAAAAAGTGGCTACAAAAGTGTGTAATGATAATAGGTACCATCTATTAAGTGCTTCTTATGTGCCAAGCACTATTCTAAGAACTGTGCAGGCATTATTTACCTTCACACCGACACCATTAGGAAAGAACTCTCACAGTTCCCATTTTACAGGCTTGTGACTTACCCACATGCATACTTGTACTAAGGTCAGGTAGTTGAGTGTTCCCACATTCTTAAAAATCACATGATTTTGCTTGTCAGTATAGGGTCATATTTGTTTGAAAAACAAAATAATAAGTGGGGTGTGTATGTGTGTGTGTGTGTTTTAAAAGCCTGGAAGGACTGGAATGAAAATATTAACTGGAAGCATTATTATAGGATATTATTTTTACTTTTAAAAAATCCTTTACATACACTGCTGCTTTCCATTTCAGTCAGATAAATTTACTAGGAAATGTTAGAGTTCATTCGCCCCATTTTACATAATATCCCTGCTCACGAAGAGGTTGACGAAGTTCACTCTTTTAGATGGAGGGTTGGGGTGCACTAGAGTTCATGTTCACAAAGGATCTGGAAGGATCGTCTCTCAGTTTCTTTCAGTTTCAGTCTGTATAATTTAGGAACTCTCTGTAATAGTCTTCTTGAGTACCTCAAATCATGTTTAGAATTTTCCATATGTTGAGGATATATTTTAAAATACAAAGGCCCAAGCTGTAGAACGATCCCTGGCATTCTTTAAATTTAAAATTACTCAGTTTTTCTTTTCTGTGCTTCTTTTAAGAGTGAGAGAAAGAAGTGAATGTGGAAGTGTAGGCAGAGTAGTTTTCATTTCTACCTTGGTCTCATGAAAACTGACATTTTTTAAGTCATTGCATTTCACTTAGAAACTGCTTCCAGACCAATTTCTCCAGGGAGATGGGCTCCCAGGGCCTTCTGCCTCTCTCTGAGTCCAGCTTCCCTATCTCCTAGTCCTAAGGACAGCTTTTTCCCTAAGCGCTCCTCCTTGATGGCTGCCAAAGAGCATGGTTTCTTGCTGCTAGAACACCTCCAATGGTGACAGTCAACCAGCAATCGGCAGTGCACTAAAACAAACCTCCAGAATGACAGCAAACGCTGCTATGTGCCTGGCAGTGCCCAGTCCCTCTTTGGGAATGGCCTCATGTGGCACTCACAGCAGCCTATCAAGTAGGTGTGATGATTCCAGGTTTTTAAAGGATGAAGCTAATATTCAGAGAGCTTTGATGACTTGCCCAACATCCCACAGACAGTGTTTAAACACAAATTACGCTCCCAAATGCACGTTCTCCTCTTAGCACTATTTTCTGATTCACAGTGATTTATCTTCCTGAGTTGCTTTGCTTTCCTTCTTTCTTTCTTTTTTCTTTGTTTTTGAAAGTGGAGACAGTAAGGGGTGGGAGGTTTGAGGAATGTTTTAAAAGTAAAGTCTATTTTTGTACTTTTTGATCGTTATTGTATCTTACCTTTTCCACATGGTGGATTAACTAAATAAATTTCAGGAATTAAAAAGACAGGCTTCCTACCCCCTGCGCGCGCGTGCGCACACGCGCACACACACACACACACACACACACACACACACACACACACACACACAGAGTCAATCTTATGGCTTACAGATGCTTCTATGGATTGTACTGACTGAAAGATCATGTGATCTGACTTTGACACTCATTCTGCATGGTCATGGATGAAACACAGAGCCAACATTAGTAGAACAAAATATATGGTATTTATTAAACATATGTGACATAGTTTATAATATCAAAGTAGAGCATGCATGAACAGATTACTCATTCATTGAACAAAAACACCAATCGATACTGAAAACATTAAATGATTAAATGTCCGTGACATAAAAATTCTCTTAATGTGAAAAGAAAAAAACAATCACAAGTTGAATAAATACAGTGATTTCAGCTGGTCCAATGAAGGCATAAGGCACAAATTAAACCAAGGGACTAATGCATGGGAATGAAGCTTGTCTGGCCCACACAAGTCTCTAACTGCAGCTCCCACGGCCCTGCACAGATGCCTGGGACCCGGAGGAAAGAGCATTTGCAGGCCGGGGACCCTCCCCTCCAGGTTCAAGTTTGGCTGGGTGCCCATGCTCCTTGTGGACAGGCCTCTCTGTACCAGAGAAACGCTGCCTCTAATACTTTTATGGGTAAACAAAACCTTCATGCCCTATCAAACGATCCTGGCATGAATAACATGAAACTTCAAATTAATGTCCTTTTCCCTCTCAACCAAAGTCTAGCAAGTAAAATAAATAGTGAGGGAATCCTCCTGATAGGATTTCAGTGTCTACAAAGAAAACAAATGATGACACAGTATAGCAGGGTATGCTGGGTGGGTGTTTCAAATGTGACCTTGTCTCTTACCTGCCCCTCCGCCTTCACTTTCCTTCCTGTCTTAGAAGCAGATCAGAGCCTCAGTGATTTCCATTCTGGCTTACACTGTGTATAGGGGAAACAACAGTCACCCTTCCCAAAGGATTTCAAGCCACAGGGTTCCAGAGCGTTTGTCCATCTGTAAAAAGTGCATGTCTCTGAGTGCCTAAGTTAGAGTTTTCTTCATAGTTAACTCCAGTACTCTTGTGTATGGGGTGTAGTTCCTAGAAGGCATCACAATTTCACGAGTCCTGCCTGTTTGGCTGAGAAATGAGAAAAGTCAGGTCAGGAAAATTAAACAAAACCCCCATATGCTTCACATGGTAAGAAAACTCTAGAAAATGGTGTTTAAGCACTTAAAAAGACTATAATAACGCACCTTAATATTTCATGTAAACATTACGAACGAGCCCTGCAATGGACTTAATGTTCCCCCCAAATTCATAGGTTGAAATCCTCACCCCCAAGGTGATATATTAGGAGATGGGGTCTTTGGGAGGCGATTGGGTCATGAGGGTGGAGCCCTCATTAATGGGATTAGTGCCCTTATAAGAGAGGCCCCAGAAAGATTCATCATCCCTTCTGCTATGTGAGGACACAGCAAGAAGACACCATCCATGAACCAGAAAGCGAGCCCTCACCAGACACTGGATCTGCTGGCGCCTTGGTCTTAGACATCCCAGCCTCCAGAACTGTGAGAAATAAATTTCTGTTGTTTATAAGCTAACTAGTTTATGGCACTTTGTGATGGCAGCCTGAAGAGACTATGACAGATTAAAAATAAAAAGTTATTTTTAGCACTCTGTCAAGGTTGTACCAGGCACCCAGGGTTCAGAAAAATATAAAACACGCATTCACGGGCCTCATCACCTGGTGGGAAAGATATGCACACAAATAATTTTCATGTACTGTGTTAGGAACTGTAACAAAGACATAAAAGCTGCGCTGGGTATTCTTCGTCTGCCATTCAGACCTACTCTCCCCCTTCTCCACCCCACTCTGTGCCCAGGAAGGTCAGCATCAAGGGGCTCCCTTGCCCTTCAAATTCAGTTCCTTTTGGCTTACTGCAGGAGATCAGGGAATGAGAGGACAAATAGGTCAGAATATTTGTCCCCTCCCAGACAGGATGCAGTTTGGTAGCTAGGGGCATCCCTATCCCAGGGCCCATAGCTACAGCTCCCCCGCTTGCTCTCTTCCCCTGGCTTTCTCCCCTGCCTCCTCAGGGAAGGGCGGTAACAGCTTCCAATGTTGCTAGCTCCAGAGCTGGCCACTGTCTTTTGTTTACTTCCCTTAAAGTTGCCCAAACATCCACAACAGTCCCTTCATTTAGCTCTCGAGCCTCCCTTCCCGCCATGACCTGAACAATATACGCATGGACACATGATGGGAAAACTGAGGGCAGAACAATGTAGCACCACCGAGAATGTAGCACTGGAGATTCACACAGTGAAGGTGAATCCTGAGGGATGCCTGGCCTTCATCAAGTGGGCAAAGAGGGGATGAGAACTCCAGGAGGAAGGGACAGTATATGCAAGGCAGAGATGGGAGAGCACACAGTTTACGGATGTGGAAATGCAAACTATGTGCTCCTTTAGAATGACCGGAACAAAGAGTTCACAATGGAGAGTGCCAGAAGATGAGGCCTGGTGGAGAAGGGTCCCATGGGCCTGGCTAAGGAGCTCAGAAGTGAGCAGGGAACTAGACAAGGTTTTTAAGGAGAGCCATGATCTGCTCATATTTTTATTCTAGCAAGATTCCACTGATACCATTGAGCGTTGACTAGGGAAGGATTATTCTGAAGGCAAGTCAGTTAAAAATTCTTGCTCTTTAGGAGGTGAAAGAGAGATCATGAGAACTTGAACTCTAATGGAAGCACTGGAAAGGAAGTGGCAGGGAAAGGTTAGAGAGATATTTGGGAGGTATAATTAACAGGATTGGGTGACTAAGACATCCTATTTCTTTTTCCTCCTGGACACATAACTCAACTACATTTCCCAGCTTCTCTTGCCATTAGGTGGGCCATGTGACCAAACAGGCAAAAATGACTTCTACTACTTCCAGGTTTAACCCATTAAAATGTTCTACATAATCCCCCATGCGTTCTCTCTCAATTCCCTTTTATGTATAGCATACAGCTGGAGAACTCAGGAGGACTCCAAAGCTCAGGCAGCGTCTCTGGATGGAGGAATTCCTGGGTTCCTGAAAGACTGTATGGAATGGAACATATACCAAACTGCCCTAAACCATGACAAGAGAAATTAATCTTTGCCATGCTAAGCCACGGAGATATGCGGGTTCTTTCAAACAGCAGCTGCATTCCTTATCCCAACCAACGCAATAACAAAATGTGTAGATGAAGCCTAAGAGTCAAACCCTTTCCCCTAACTTCCCACATCCAATCATTCACCAGGTGATAGAGGATGTATCAAAAGCATGGCAGGGGGTATATTTTAAACTTTGCATATCTCCCCTCGGGAGATTCTCCATGTTCTCCACCCAATCCCCATATACACCATGAACATTACTGTTACAGAGGCTTCTGACACCTCCGTAGCATCTTTTTGTTTTGTTTTGTTTGCTTTTGTTAGACCAAGTCTCTCTCTATTGCCCAGGCTGGAGTACAGTGGCATGATCTTGACCCATTGCAACCTTCACCTCCCAGGCTCAAGCAATTCTCCTGCCTCAGCCACCCAAGTAGCTGGGATTACAGGTGTATGCCACTACCACCCGGCTAATTATTGTGTTTTTAGTAGAGATGGAGTTCACCATGCTGACCAGGCTGGTCTTGAACTCCTGACCTCAAAGGATCCACCTGACTTGGTCTCCCAAAGTGCTGGGATAATAGGCATGAGCCACAGCACCCAGTCTCTGTAGTATTTTGTTGTGCTTGTTGGTCTACACATTTGTGTCCACTGCTAGGTATAACTTCTTTAAGGGTGAAAACCACATCTCCATCATCTCCATGAATCCAGCAGCTCAGAGGCTAGCCACAGAGCCATTACCCTACAGAGCTATTACTGTGGATTACAAAGGAAACCAAAGGTTGGAGGAGTTTCAAGAAGGAAGTGGCCCCAGTGTCAACTGCCACAGAGAGCAATCCATGGGACCCGGTGATCCAGGAGTCCCCAGTGACCTGACCAGGCAGTTTAGTGGAGTGCCAGGGGCAGAAGCCAGATGGCAATTTGTGCCAACTCCTGTGAAAATTCCACATAACAGAAACAGTCCCTAGTGACAATATCCTGAAAGCCCGTAAAATGCAGAAATATTTATAAAGGTGAACCTTGTAGAGTTCAAAAACAGGCTCTCATATCCCAATCTTTTAAAAAAGAAGTGGGATATTTTATTTAGTTGATCACTAGGAAACAACAGGATTTCAAGAACACAAATAACCTCAACCACAAAACTGAAACCCAACCATCTGCCTTAACACATTTAGGCTATTGTTAACCTTTTATTAATTCATACAGGGGTAGTTCCCCTGGGGGAAACGGCAGAATCAGCAAATAACGCTTTGACAAAAAGCTACTTTGTGTTCTGGTCTTTGCAACAGAAATACGAAAACACATTTTCGTATTTTAAAGCACTTACTATGTGCTGAGCACTTATGACCCGGGGGATATTTTTCATCAAATTGCACCTATTAAGACTTAGTTGATGAGTTTGCAGGAAACCAAGTTTCACTACAGGGCAGGAGAAAGAAAAATCACTTTTCTTTTGGTTTCTTCTTACTCTTCTTTGTAAATGAAGGCTAGATGACCTGCACTTTTCTCAATGGCTTTCATTAACGTATATCAAACTTTTCAAACCAAAATCCTGAGTCTTTAAATACGTACATACATGTGTGTGTGTGAAAACCCCCGACCTCACAGTGAGTACCCTCTCACCATTTCCCTTTCCCTCTCTCTTTATGAGGAGATCCTTGGTCACTAGAAATATATGGAACACAAAGATTAGATGAAGGAGGGGAAGGATTTGAGGAGGAAAAAGGGAGGCAGAGAGATGGTACTGACTAGATTAGGCAGTCTCAGGCAGGCTGGCAGCAGGGGGAATGGGAAAGCATGAGGCAAGGCATGAAGGAAAAGAACAGCAGTTTGAGTGAGTGAGTCAAGGAGCAAAGTAATTCTCTGGCTCAGAAGTGACTGCAATATACTGAGCTTAGGTAACTGGGAGAGCAGTGGCTGTAACAACAGAAATATGAAAATGCGGGCATTTAAACTGGACATTCTATGCCTGTTACTGCACTTAATCCTCTCAACAAGCTTCCAAGGGGACTGCCACCAAAATCTTCCTTTTCAAGATGAGAAGGAAGGTTCTGACCCTCCTTGAAAATCAAGGAGGGTAGGAATTTGCCAAAGTTGCAGATGCAGCAGGAGGCAGACCCAGGACCCAAATCCAGGTCTAACTTCCAAGCCAGTATTCTTACTCATTCCTCAGAGGAGCGACTTTGAAGAAAGCGATGGCGCACTCAGCCACACAATGGCAAGCGTGAAGACCAAGCGGACAGCAGTTGGGAGTGCCCAGAAGGCCATGGGGAACAAGGACTTGTATTCAAGAGAACGGTTCACACTTCCTTTCTCTTGAATACAAATCCTTGTTCCCCAGAGCCACAGAGAGGAGAGGTGAAACTATGAGACTGCATACAATCTTTGCAGGAAGTACTGGACCAAGGAACCAAGATAGAGCCATGTGGACTACCACGGTGAGGATCTTGGAAAAGGAAAATTAGCCATCAAAGAAGCTGGAGAAGCTGGAGATAGGAGGAGAACCAGGAAAGAAAGTACTGCAAGAGTAAGAAGCAGGCTGAGGAATCCTTCCCTTTTTCTTAGGAAGGATTGTCAAATGCTACAGGGAGATAGCTCCAGTCAACAAATATTGAGCACCTAGTATGTGCCAAGCACTGCTCTAAGGAGGTCCCAGGGAGAATGCAATTAGTGAAATAGAGGAGAATCCCTGCCCTCATGGAGCTCACATTCTAGTGAGGAGAGAGAGAAACACACACACACACACACACACACACACACACACACACACACACACAAAGGTAAAACATAAGCAGAAATCACTTCATCCAAGGCCTTTATTAAATAAATGAATCATGATAATATGATTATCTGAGCACCTGCCTATGTTCCTCATTTAGTATGTATCTTTCACTTATTCACCCGACAAATGTTTATTGAGCATCAACTAAATGCATTTTTTTTCATGCAAGACAAAAAAACTAGAGTAGCTCCAAGTCAAACGTTATTAGCAGTAGCACAGCATGTAACACTTGCAGTTGTACAGACGAGTGGGTAGGAGGCGCCATGCTATTCTGTAATGAGGTAAGTGCCCCATGCCTGCAACACGCTCAGGTCTTAGCTGACAGAGACCTTATCAATCACTGGGCCTTCCAGAGTTTTATGCAGTGTCTAGAGGGCGTTTCAAACCACTGAGAGTTTCACTGAAGAGCCCAATGCATACTGAAACACTGTATACTTGATTAGGCTAGCAATCCGTTTCATAAAATCAATAATTACCACCAATAAAAATTAAGTTAGGCTGGGCACGGTGGCTCACGCCTGTAATCCCAGCACTTTGGGAGGCCAAGGCGGATGGATCATGAGGTCAGGAGTTAAAGACCAGCCAGGCCAACATGGTGAAACCCCATCTCCACTAAAAATACAAAAATTAGCCAGGCATGGTAGCAGGTGCCTACAATCCCAGCTACCAGGGAGGCTGAGATTCATTGCTTGAACCCGGGAGGCCGAGGTGGCCATTAGCCAAGATTGTGCCACTGCACACCAGCCTGAGTGACATAGCAAGATGCTGTCTAAAAAAAAAAAAAAAAAAAAAGGAAAAGAAAAAATTAAGTTAATGAAATTATCTTAGCACTTAGCATACTCAAATTTATTTATATTTCATACAGTGTTCTACATAGAAAATCAGAGTTTGGGTTTAGTAATGTTAATAGTAATAGCTATTAGTTATTAAGTGCTTAACTCCAGTCCAATTACCACACTAAAAGGCTTTATTTTTTATTTATATTTATTTATTTATTTTGAGACAGAGTCTTGCTCTGTCGCCCAGGCCCAGGCTGGAGTACAATGGTGTGATCTTGGCTCACTGCAACCTCCACCTCCTGGGTTCAAGGAATTCTCTCTCAGCCTCCTGAGTAGCTGGGATTACAGGTGCATGCTGCCATGCCCATCAAATTTTTTTTGATAGAGATGGGGTTTCACCAAGTTGTTCAGGCTGGTCTCAAACACCTAAGCTCAGGCAATCCATCCGCCTTGGCCTCCCAAAGTGCTAGGATTACAGGTGTGAGCCACCATGCCCGGCCTACTTTTTATTTCCTTTCTTTTCTTTTTTTTTTAGAGAGAGAAGTTCTTGCTATGTTGCTTAGGCTGGTCTCAAACACCTAGCTTCAAGTGATCCTCCCACCTTGGCCTCCCAAAGTGCTGGGAATGCAGGCATGACCCACCATGCCCAACCCCTAAATGCTTTATATACATGTTTTCATTGAATCTTCAAAGCAACCCAATGAGGTTTGATATTATCCTCTTCATTCCCATTTTAAAGATGAAAGAGTTAAGGCTTTAGGGAGATGAAATAACTTGCCCAAGGCTGTGCTCAGCTAGCAACTGGCTGGTCAGGGAACTGGGCAGCCTGAGCCTCCCTGACCGTCCCACACTGATGAATTCATTGTAGGAGATGAGCAGGGAGCAAGAACAAAACACTTCTGCGTAATTGAGGCTCAATTCAATGCTTGTTTTGGTGTAAAATATTCTAGAGAAAAAAAATCTAAAAAATGTTCTGGGCAATAACCTGGACTCTTTTATTAGATATACATTTGAAGTCTAAGTATGAACCAGGAATTTTGTTAGAACATACACACCACTGTTTAGTAACTTTCTATTTATTACATAATCTCAAACTCCACATGTACTGCACCAAGACTGAAGAAAACCTGTTTCTAATTCTGGCTCTGTGGCTTCTAGGGAATCACTTGGTCTCTCTGAGTCTCAATTCTGGTATTCATAAAATATGGGGATTAACTAGATTGGGAGTTCCAATTTGTTTTTGCCCATAGAGATTTTATTCAAACAGAATCTTACTTGGAATCCAACCGACAAAACAGACTAAAAGCTGATTTTCTCAGGTTGTTTTGGGGAGGAAGCAGGGTCCCAGGAGCCATCCCCTCACTAACTGTCCTCATCCCCTGGGCATCCTGAGGCCTATCCAGGAGCCCCAGCTCACAGTAAGGCAGTTCCAGGAAGCGCAGGTGGAAGGCCACGGCCCTGAGTTACCTAAAGGTCCCGGGCTCCTCCCCACCCAGACTTGCCTGGCGCCTGTCACATAGTAGGCACTTAATAAATATTTGTGAGGAAACGAATGAAATATTATTCTGCCTTTTCGGAAACACGAATATGTAGTTTTCATTTCCTCTGCTGATTGACCCAGGTAGTTAAACTGCTAAGATGGATCCTGGGGGAAACCAAATGTTACATTTATGGAAAAGCTGCTTTTAGATACTGAAGTGGCTTCCAAGTTCACCATGGCCATAAGTTAAGGGTCTGTCAGCACTTCCATTATGAAAACCGCTTTGTGGTTTCATAACTTAGCCATAAAAGTTTGCTTCAGGCTATACTTGGGCATACAAATTGAAAAGCTTGTTTTAAGCCAAAATGTGGGAAATAGAAAACAAATAATTTATTGGTTTCAGACATAGTTTTGTACATATCTTAGCCAAACAAGATTTATTATTTGGGCAATTAGAGTGGACTAGGCCACTTGGCTTTGAAAAATAAAAAAAGGGGGAAAATGGCCAAACTATTTATATTTCAAAAAGGTCTCTGAACACAATTGATCATTCTTTTTGGTTATATTTTCATCATGTACTTTGTACCACATGATGATGAGATCCGGAGTCTATTTATACATATATTTCATATTTTCTGTTAATTATATCAGAAGGATAAAAATGCCTTTTTACTAAAAGGCAAGTAACGTAAATGAGGACACTGTCAAAGAAAGAGCCTAACGCTGCTTTTGGAAAATTCTTTGAGAATGGCAAGTGATTCATTTTAATTAACAAAAATGACAATACCCGTAAAAAATAAAAATAAAAAAAATCAAATCACTGACTTTACAAGTCGAGAAACTCAGGCCCCAGTGAAGAACCTGTCTGAAGGCATCCTGCTGCTGGCCGGTAGGACAAGAACCAGGTATCCCACACCCCGGCTTAGCGATCGGCTCTTCACTGCTTCCCACCAGCTGTAACCACTCAAGTTTCCAGGATTCAACATCTTGCTAGACTACTCTGTCCAGCAAAGCACACACAAGTGCCCCTGTTCACACAAGAATCCACACTCCTGCACACAGGACACGAGGCATCTTTTGGCTTTGATTACCTAAATCACAAGTCACATGTCATTAGCATCTTTGCTGTAAACTTGTTTTAAGCCCTCTTTAGGCTGGGCACAGTTGTGAGCACCTGGAAATGGTGAGTTAGTTATCAAAGGCAGGTTACTGGATTACAGGCTGTAATGTCACCAGGAAGAGACACAGGCACGGGAGCAGCCTAACAATGAACAGGTCAGTTTTTTAGCTCAGGAATGTAACTGAGCAAACCAGGTTAGAGTTATCACATATTTGCTGATGACTCAAGCAGATCAGGTGTTTATGAACCGAATCCAATGCTTGACAGTGCCCTGTTACCGTACTGAGGAACAGATCAGTTTTGTTCAAGGTTTAGATCCTCCCTCTTGCATATCACTAAAGCACCTTGGATGCCCCTTTCACACTGTTCTATATGTCTGCCCACATACCTGTCTCTCCCTCCAGACTGTACTCTGGGGTGGGAACCAAATCTTATTGCTCTCTCTATCATAACTGTCAGGCACAGTGAAGGTACTAACAGCATTTATTGAATGAAGGAAGGAAGGACGAAACACATGCATGCACTCACTGACAGGGCCCATCTCTCTCTGAATGGCTTCGCCAGGTCTCTCCTTTGCTGCCCCCTCCACCCTGCACAATGCCCCCGTTCCTACAGAAACTAGTCAACCCCCTCAACAGCCACCACTTGGCTTTGCAGAAATATTTTTGATAGGAAGAATGCAATTCTATTAAGAACAGCCCAGTAAAGTATTTTCTCCAGCCAAAGAGGAATTTGAATAAAAAATCCCCAGAAAATTCCTAATTACCTGGGTAGAAGATCACAGCCCACTCCAATCTCTCGGGTTTCCACTTCGGTCTTGGCCTGGGTTTCTATTAAATAGTCCAGCCTACTTTGTAGTTCATTATTCTGGAGACAAGAAAAAAAAAGTACTTTCAGTAAGTCAAATATGTTCCCCCACAAATATGCACGATACAATTTATATGTATTATCTGATTTCGCCCCATGATATGGTCAACTATCACAATGTATTTATAGAGCATCACTTACACAATAGGTGTTGAAGAAATAGATTGATCGAATCCATATAAATGGCTTTCTATGCATGTACAGACATATGCATCCAATTTTACATAAATGAAAACAAAACATTGTGATCTATGTTATAACCTGCTTTTTTCAGCCACCAATTTGTTATAGCTATTTTTCCATTTTCATTTGTTTTCTTTTTGTGTCAACAAACTATTTTAATTCATTAATAGTATTTCATTGTATGGATACATTATTTATTTAACTAGTCCCTTATTGATGGGCATTTAGATATTTATCATGTTTTTGCCATCATAAATAAGGTGCAGCCCAACTTTTAACACCTCCTTATTAAACTATAAAATGAGTAAGTCTGTTAATTTAATTTAGTGGGAAATACCTCTATAACTTAATTAGTATTTTGTAGGTGTGGAAAATTCAGAATCTCACACATATAAAGTAGAACAGGCTCCTTGGGATTAAAATTAGCATTCTGAATAGTTTTTTTCCTTTCGGGCCAGAGCCATACATTACATGGGTTAAAGATTAGATCCTCAGCAACTGGAAATTTGCCTCATGAGGGAAATGAAGGAAAAGGAAGCAAGAGATACTGAAATGAAAATAGATAAAGAAGTTGAAGATACTGAAATAAAAACAGATGAAGTGCTGGTGCCTGAAATCTGAAGTGCAAAAACACCAAAAAAAAAAAAAAAATTCAGAAAGTAGTTACAGCAGTTATCTCTGTGTATTAAGATTTTGAAATACTTTTTAAAAAAGTCCTTCTACATATTTTCTAGTAATGCTAGAGTAAATGTTCATGAAACAATGCTCATATCTATCTTCCTAGTTGTATTCTCAAAGCGTGGCATGCAGCCGATGCAAGATAAATATTTGCTGAATAAATAAATTTATAAATGGTTTTACAATGAACATTTTATTTGCATAACTAGAAATGAAAGCATTTGTTCTTCTTCAAGTTGGAGCTGAAGCTGAGGCAGTATTCCAAGACATTAGATAACACGAGAAAGTTTCAAAGTTCTATAGAAACAGAAGCTCATTTATTTTGAAAGAAAGAATGTGGGTTACACATTCAGTAGCTCCTGCTTTGAAAGGTTGATACCAAGGAGCAAAGTATCAGTTCTTGTGAAAACCAATGTTCTGTACAATGTAAAGGACTATGAATCCCTTCCAATAAATAAGAAATGGTGTAAAAGAAGAGAATGCTTTCCAGATTCCTCAGCAGATGACACGCTATGACAAATTGATCTGAATTTATCTCTGAATCTATCACCTGATCCCCAGTATGAAAGAATGGTGCTGGCTTTTTGCCAGAGAGTCATCAGCATACACACACACACACACACGCACGCACGCACACACACACACACACGCACGGGGGTGGGGGGAGAGAGAGAGAGCATGTACACGTGAAACAGAGTGCTTCTCCATCAACATTTGAACTCTCAAATTTATAAAGAAAGAGGAAGGCAGAAGAGGCTTGCCTTTGCTAGATGCTCCAGTAATCCCATCGCTTTATCCCCTCTTAGTGTAAAGACTTTAATCATGAGGATTTCACAGCATGCTGGGTCTAACACCTATAGGTAAGGGACCTAAAAGACAAGGTTAGCAAATATGTCCCAACTGATACACAGTGAATAGTGGACAAGAGGCCCCAAATCCTTTGTTCTATTTCACAGGGACTCTGTGAGTGTACAACAAATACCCAAAGAAACGTAGAAATAAAAAATGTATATGATTGAGAATATAATGTAATCTGTAGAAAAATTACTATGTATCTACTATATATATCAGGCAATGACATTAGGCGGGGGGAGAGTTAGAAGTCAAAGAAATATGGCATTATTTGCAACCCTTGAGGAGCTCAGTCTTGTGGGGATACAGATAACTGAGAAGCAAATAACAGAAGGATGTGCTAAGTAACATTATGTAGGACCCACAGAATATTAAGAGGGAACTCAGAGGGGACATCTGACTCAAAATAGGGAGAAGGGGTGGGTTTCTGGAGTTAGGCAAGGGAAAGAGAGTAACAAAAAGCAAAGGGGATGAGTATCCCAGAACTGTGGACACACACAGGGTTGAGAAAAGGCACATTACTGCATTACACAGGTGTGCAGAAGTTAGTTACGAAAGGCTACATATGCCACTACAGTAAGTTCAAACCAATCTTATAATAGCAAGGTCAGCACCAGAATTTATTTTAATCACCTGGCTCCCAAGTGAAAGTTGGATTGGAGGGAAATAAGACTAAAGGCAGTAGGAAGGCCACTGCAATTATTCAGCTCAATGAGTGGGGGCTGCACTTGCAGTAGAGTGTGCGCTCAACATACTGATCCTCCTGCAAGTCAGAGCTATACATTCTGGATAACAGATTAAAAGCAACTAATGGGAAGTGAATAAAGACAGGGGTCTCTAGGGAAGTGAATAAAGACAGGCAAGTTTTGGAGATGAGGTGAAACTTGAAGCACAAGGCAAGCAGTTCTCTGTATTCTCTATGTTTTGTTTATTATTTTTCTTTTTCTATCGGCTTTGCCCTGAGAGTAGCACAGCCATGGTGGTGGCAGTACAGATATAGTAAAACCTTAACAGAAAAACCATCTTTCTGGTAGAAGAAACCAGAAGGAGGAGGAGGCCAGGGCTACTAACATTAGGGAAGAAGGCAAAATAGGAGAGTCAGAGTAGTGGGGAAACACTAAATTCTTGTATATAGACTCAGCTCAAGTCTCTGGTAGACCATTGAACCATGCACGTCTGGAGAAAACTGAAAGAAGCTTGCAGCTAATGTTTAAAGAACTGAACTGAGATCTGCCATCACCTATCACAGGCAAGCAGGATGTAGTTGGGTCTAGCTAAATTCATTGCCTTTTGAAACAAAACCCAACAAAGCACTCACAATGTCCAGCTTACAATCCAAAATTATGTGACATATAAAGAGTCAAGAACATATTACCCATTCCTAAGGGAAAAGAGAATCAACAGACACCAATTCTGATATAACTCAGATGTTGGAATTTTCAGACAAAGACTTTAATGCAGCCATCATAACAACAATCAGTGAGACAAAGAAAAATATGCTTACGATTAATGAAGTAGTAAAAAAAATCAATAGAAAATATAAAAAAGAACTAAATGGACATTTTAGAACAGGAAAGTACAATACCTGAATTTTTTTTAAAAGGCAGTAAATGGACTTAAGACTGAAGATGATAAAGGAAAATGTCACTAAACTTGAATATTCATTACTGGAAATTATCCAATTGACGTAGAGAAATAAAAGACTGAAAACAATAAATGGAGCACTGCAGAACTGTGAAACAGCTTGAAAAACCTAACAAGGATTTTTGAATCAAAGAAAGAGAGGGGAAGAAAACTAAGCCAGAAAAATTATTTTAAAACATAGTAGCTGAAAACTCCCCAAATTTGGTGAAAGACATAACTTTACAACTTCAAGAAGTTCAACAATCTCCAAACAGGATAAATTCAAAGAGAAACACATCACAGTCAAACTTCTGAAAACCACAAATGAAGAAAAATCTTGAAAGCAACTTGTTACATACAGGGGCATAATCATTTGCATTACACAGATATCTCATTTAAAACCATGGAAAGCAAAAACAATGAGTACTGAGATAAATAAACTGTCAACTAAGAGCTCTATACCTTTCAATAACGAAGGTGAAATAAAGATCTTATTTTCAAATAAGAAAAACTAAGAGACTGTTTTACCACCTGGCCTGCACTGCACAAAATTCTAAATAAAAGTTCTTCAGGCTGAAGAGAGATGACATCAGAGAAAAACTCAGACCATCAGAAATAGAGTATATGTGAAAGAATCTAGGTTCTCTTAATTGCTTTAAAATCCATACGATTGTTAAAGCAAAAATGATAACAATGTATCATGGTTTTATAATGTATATAGATACAATACATATGACAATTATAACCACAGGCACAGGGGTAAATGAATCTATATTATTGCGAGATTTCTACATTTTACAAGAAATGGTAAAATATTATCTCTAGGTGGACAGTGAACAGCTAATGATGTATACTGCAATGCCCGGAGTAACCACTAACATATTAGAGAAAAGAGATACAGCAAAAATGCCAATGGGTAAATTAAAATGGCATTTTAAAAAAATGAAATAATCCAAAAGAAGGCAAAAAGGAAGAACAAAAAAGCAAGCAAGCAACATAAGCAAAACAAACCAGAAGGAACAAACAGAAAACAAATACTGAAAAGGTAGATCTAAATCCAATCATATAAATATAATTAAATATGAGTAAACTACATATTCCAATTAAACGGCAGAGACTATAACAATGCATAAAAAGCAACTCCCACCTGGGTGCAGTGGCTCATGCCTGTAGTCCCAGCATCTTGGGAGGCCGAGGTGGGCAGACCATGAGGTCAGGAGTTTAAGACCTGTCTGGCCAACATGGTGAAACCCCATCTCTACTAAAAATACAAAAATTAGCTGGGCATGGTGGCAGGCACCTGTAGTCCCAGCTGCTCAGGAGGCTGAGGCAGAGGAATTGCTTGAGCCAGGGAGGTGGAGGTTGCAGGGAGCATAGATCGAGCCACTGCACTCCAGCCTGGGCGACAGAACAAGACTCCGCTCAAAAAAAAAAAAAAACAAAGCAAGTCCAAGTATTGTCTATAAGAGATGTACTTTAAATACAGAGATAGAAATCAGGTGAAAATTAAGTGGCTGGAATAAGATTACCATGTAAAGAGTAAATGTAACAGGGTAGGAATGGTTCCAATTAATATCACTTAAAATAGATGTTAAGACAAACAGTATTAACAAAAGTAGTGAGCAACATTTCATATTGTAAAGATCAATTCATCATCAAGACAT